AAGGGGGGGGTTGAACCGCTATTTGTCTGATCCGTCGCCTAGGACCTGTTTGCCTTGGGAGACCCTACCAGGGGCGTTAAGCCCCCGACAACATAGCTCCTAGGTTCATTCGGATACTCAAACCCCTCCACCACGTTAAGGTTGCGATTCAAGGAGAGGAGAGAATAACTTTTGTTTATAGTACAAAATATTTTTCTGGGTATTGAAACTTGTTTTTTTAAGTACTCACTTAGGTGGTGAAGTGGGTTGAACTTTTGCCTTACTGCCAGGAAGTCAGCAGTTCAATCCCTAGTGAAAACTTACGGTCTTTGTATGGGTTTCCACAAAGTTCTCCAGTTTCCTCTCACATACAGTTTTGAACTGTGTTAAATTAAGGATTTAACTTCACATAAAGCATACGTGTCAAACTCAAGGCCTGGGGGCCAAATGCGGCCCACCAAGCCGTTTTGTGTGGCCCGCGGGAGCTTAAAAAGCATTTAGTAAAGTCCCTGCAGCAGAGTTTCTTAATCTGAGAAAGTTTAAATCAAATAATAATCAATTGCAGAAACATGAATTATTCTGTTATGGAGTAGTTACATCTATACCAGCGGTCCCCGACCTTTTTCGTTCCAAGGACTGGTCAGCCAGTACCACCCATTACTACGGACCGGTAGCAAGGCAATGAGCATTGAAGGATCATTCAGTTTTTCAAAATAAAACATCTTTTAGACTCTATTCTGTTAGCGTCAGTCTGATTTTTTTTTTCTTTGAGCCCTAGAATGAACCGACTGGTAAAGGATGAATAAAGTAATGCATAATTTTGAACTCAAATGGAGATGTGAATAATTAGCACCAATGCAACTCGTCAGTTAATATTAGACCCCTTACATGTACAGTTAGTTCTTTATGCCACGCAGTAAGTGTGAACACTGTTGAGTTCTAATTACTTCTTCTTTCAATCACAATGAAACTCCAGGAGGCCTCAAATGTGTTTCCGCCTCTTTTCCCAGGAGCCGTCTACACAGAAACTGCTCACTTTGTGTTTATTAGTTTCCTCTTTAGTGTGTTTGGTGTCGAGCAGCTGTCGTTCATGAGCATGTGTTAAAGTTCAGTCATACACACCCCCTCTCCCACCTCAGTGTGTAAAGATGGGTTGGGGTCCCAGACCATCTGTGATTGTTTGTTATTCAAATTTCAGTGTCAAGTGGCTCAGTGAAGACAACAACAACAAAAAAAAATCATCTTAATTTTATTCTAGTCTACAACCGCTGGGCTGGGGACCAGTACTAGGCCTCGGGCCATTTGGTACCAGGCCACAGAAAGAAGTAAATGGAACATTAATACAGTGTGATGTCACTGATACTGTATGTATTTAAGGTAATGACTGTATTATCTCTACATTACAAAGGTCACTGGAGGCAGATCATTAAACTTTTCAAAATAAAAGCCTTGTTTAAAAACCTACACAAAGAAGAAAATAATTTTACCATCTTTTATCATCTTGCTTAAAGTGCAGGTTTACACAACCGGATTAAAAAGTTACTGCAGATACAGACTCAGAGTGTGCAACAGTGTGCCTCGTCCAAGGACAGAAAATAACAAAATAAGAGCTTTGGGGAGAAACTATGTGATCAGATGAGGGATAAAGAGAGAAATCAGGAGCAAATGTACAACATGTCAACCTGAGTACACTTCAACAGATTGTTAGTAATACTGTAGTAGAGGCACCTTCATTAGAAGTACAACAATAATAATGACTTTTACTCGAGGATGGCATCAGAAGAACAGTGAACTTGACTGTGGGAGGAGTCACCTCGCTGTGATCAAGATCAAATATTGTCTGTGGGAGAAGGTTGCTGTGGGGAAGTGAGACGGAGCCAAAAGGACTGATAATGAGAGAGTCAAAGATTTATGAGCAGCAGTTATTGAGGTGGTCTCGCTGAGGTTTTTCTTTCCTGTAAGTGCTGGTGTTTGGGGGTCTTTTGGCGTTCACTAATGTCTACAAATATTGAATATTTAATATTTAATCGTTTCAGTTTCAAAGGAGTTTTTTATTCGTACCAAAACTATAATGGGAAAACAGAGCTACAGTATTAGTTGGTCTTGCATTGTTTTGTACCATTCCGTGGGAAAGCCATCTGTCCCTGGAGACTTCCCCACTTTCATCCTCCCAATTGCTGATTGAATTTCTTCTTTTGTTATTTTAGAAATTAATTTTTCGTTTTGATCATCAGTGATCTTTGGAAGATTTACCTGAGACAGAAAGGCATCAATTTGTTTGTCATTATTTGTCTGTGTTCTGTGTTCATAGTTTACCGTATTGGATAAGATCGCAACTCCTCTCCGCTTCCCCGATCTATGTGATGAAAAGTAAACGTGTTTAAATCCTGATTTATTCAATTTAGTATGTTCGGAGTCGCTGAGGTGTGTCTCTTGTAAGAAAGCTATTTGAATTTTGTCTTTCCTTAATTTTGATAAGATTTTCCCCCTCTTAACTGGATTGAGTACTCCATTTATGTTGAATGATGCTATTTTTAAAGACCTGTTTTGCATCTCTGTGATTTATTCCTCCTTCTGAAAAAGAAAAACCTGGTGCGCTCCCCCTCCCCGTAAGAACCGATAGGGAATAAGTAACTAACAAATTAACAAACATCATCCTGAAAACAATTTGTCCTTGAGACTTCGTATGTGGGGGTCTATTAACCGGACCCTGCTGAGCCTCACGAGGCGGCTCGAAGGGAAAGATCTCCCTCAGTTCAGAGGGGGAGGCCCTTACCTGTAACGGTGGCATGTCGAAGAAACAACAAAAAAATAAAGCAGGAAAAAAATCGATGAAGAATTGTCTCCGAACGAACCAGTCCATTAATTAGTGAATATCTACCACTCATAACGATCGTAATTACTTAGCCGAGATTTCGCAATTTACTCCGTCGTTGAGGGGGGTGGTGATGGTCTCCCAAAGGCCGGAGCTTCTCCTTGTATCTTGGTTCCCGGTCGACTGTGCCCTTCTTTGCTCGTCTGCCTACTCTCTTCCAGGTCAGCCGTTGTACTTGATCCATAAGCGTCGTCGGGGTTGTAGTTGTTGTCAAGATGTAACCTCTCTTCAGCAGATCCTCTGATGCCTCCTCTACGGTATCGTAGGTTTTAGATCCGTCTTGTTTCACGCGCAGCCTAGCAGGGAAGAGGGTCCGGAACTGGACTTTGTTTTCCTTCAACACTCTGCGTATCTCTGAGTATTCTCTTGTTTTTTTGAGAATAAGGGGTGGATAGTCGTGATCCAGGTTAATATGATTTTCTTGCCAGTCAAACCCCTTCTTCTGCCATGCCTTACGGAGTAATTCCTCCTTTGTTTTAAAGCGTAGACATTTAATTACAATGGAGCGTGGCAGTGCGCCCGCCGGTGGTTGAATTCCCAGAGACCGATGAGCTCTTTCAATCTGTAGGTCGGGTATGTCATCATTTAGCTTGAGACCTTCGCGCAGTAGATTTTCCACAAATGCTGTCATTGTGGTTGATGCTTGCTAGTTTATACCAGCTGCCAACTGTTGCTGTACCCGTCTTCCTCCCCTCCGTCTTCGAACGACGCTTACTGCTCAAAGTGGTGATATGGTTTTTCATCCCCTCTCGCTACGCTTTTCTCTGAATTATTTTCTTCGTTTGTATGGGGGTATTTCTTTAGTTAATCTGGTTCAACCGGGAGTTCCTCCGCTATGCGGCCATCTTGATGGTGTTCCGACCACAATTCCCCCTTCCATCCATTTTTATCCACTTATCCATTACCAGGTCGCGGGGGCAACAGTCGCCACCCAAATCACACTGCACTGTACCAACCCCCCTGCAGGTGGTGAGTCCACTGGAAGGTACCAACCGCCCTAACCGGAATTCGATCTTGCCCAGGAGGGGCCACACCAATGACAGAAACATTGCCTCTGGGCCAAAGCGCAGTTATGTAGTATTTAAATTACTGACATTACTTGGTGTTAGGCCAATACATCAAATACACAATTAATACATATGTAGCTTAGCTATCTTAGCTTACCCATGTTCAGTGCCACACAGTGAGCGCAGGCTGAGATACCACGTCCCAGTCTGAGGGTACGGGATCCTCAGTTTGGTGATGTTGACAGAATTGTTCACAGAAAGAGAAAACCCGGCAACTGACTCTGTAACAGGAGAAAAAAAAATCACAAATGTTTTTTTTTTATTTACATTTTTTACACAGAAAAATATCTATTCATTCTTAAGTCAATGTTTTTCTGTTAGCATTTTGCAGATTTAACTATAGTCTAAATACTATTGTAGCTGTATTTGCAATACATTTCTTCATGTTATTGAAGGAGACAAAAAATAGCATAACAAACAATAAGGTGTGAATAAGCTCTAGTCTAAAAGCCCAATTTAGTAACAAAAACATAACATAAATTTAAAAATTACACATATAGTACAGATCTTAGGTGGGTGTATACATTGATAGTACAACAAAAATAATAAGTAAAAAATTAACCTAATTATAAAGCATGAAATTATCAATGGACTTGACTCATCTTCACCACTTCTTCTCCAGACTCATAAAATCAGTTCTTAATTTTGCACATTTACACACATTTCCATTTCCAAGCTTCTCTCTGGACAAATATCTATTTGATATTCTCCATGTTAAATAGTTAAAGGGTTCAGTAACTGTACAACAACACAACATCCAGAGTCACACTGCTGTAACTGAGATGAACCCAGACAAGGCATTCTTCTCCGTGCTGTGTTCTCACACTGACAACGTTGTACAAACAGGAAAGGAAGAAAAAGCCATTATAACTGAGGCTGTGACTGATGAGATTCTGCTGCAGAAGTAGAAATAAAAATTATGCCAGAAAACAAATTGCAGACCAGGAAGAAAAAAATGAAACAGAGGAGGCAGAAAGAAAGGAAGAAAGAAAGAAGACGACAGATTGCAGAAAGGTGCAGTGTGACTGGCAGCGGCAGCTGGGAGAGTGAGGTCAGCCGTTGACCTTTTGCTCCTGCTTCATCCAGGACTACAAATTACATTTGAAACCTTAGTTAATTAAATTCCGCAAGCTGCAGTGTCACTTTCATTTGCATAAAAAAATTGCACTGATGAAACTGCTTTCGTTAATTACAAAAGTTATAATAAATAATATGGCGTGTCAGATGAACACTTTGGGGGGAGGGTTGGTGGGTGGCAGAACTGCTAGATATAGAAATTAACACTCTCTCTGATAAGCTATAACAACGCCAGTTAAAGTGGAGTTTCAGTATATTATTTATCCATCCACCATCCATCCATGCTTTCATCCATCTCTCCACCATCCTATCATTCAATCAAATCAATCTTCAATCTACACATATTTATTAGCGTTGGGAAGACCGACTCATTTTACTGATTCGGATCTTTGATTCTCGAACAAGAAAATGAACGAATCTTGAACGAATCATTTCATTCACTTTACAGCAGATGTTGCTGTAGCCCTATTGTGGGCTGCGGTTCTCCGACACTACATTTGTTGATATAATTTTCAAAAATATTTATCTACAAACACACAATAACACCATATACATCTACCAGAGCTGAAAACCACTAATTATGATTTCATGAGTAAATAATTTATGTCGGGTGTCACGTGACAAAAGAATGAGGACCTGAGGACGGACACTCACTCATTACTCGCGGGAGTAACGAGTGAGTGATTCTTTCGCAGTGAGTGATTCATTTGCAGAGAGTGATTCGTTCGAAGAGAGTGTTTCATTCGCAAAGTGATTCATTCTCAGCGAGTGATTCATTCGCAGAGAGTGATTCATTTGCAGAGAGTGATTCGTTCGAAGAGAGTGTTTCATTCGCAAAGTGATTCATTCTCAGCGAGTGATTCATTCGCAGAGAGTGATTCATTTGCAGAGAGTGATTCGTGAGTGATTCGTGAGTTTAATATGAACGAATCTTTCATATGACTCGTGACTCCTGAGTCATATGAAAGATTTGTTCATATTGAACGAATTACTTGCGAACCGCACATCACTAATCATTTCATCATGCATTCATTTATCCAGCCGTCAAACATCCATCCATCCATCCATCATTTGTCCACTCATTCGTAACACAATCACACAGCTAACTGTCAATCATCTGTCCATCCACTGACCTTCTGTCCATTCATCTATTCGTTAATTAACCCATCCATCCACAGTAGTGGATTAGTCTCATTAACTATTCCATCTCAGCCTGGTTTTTGTAGATTAATGGAATGTATGACTGACCATTTGTTTTAAAAAGATGTGCATTTGCATCAATATTTGCACATTTAAAGAGGTTAAAAACTAATTGTGTTTTCAGAGAACAAATAAATCCAAACAAGATCATTTTGTTTCATCTGTTCTTTCCTGCGCACACAGCAACCGTTCTTTTTATATCCTACACAGCGGTCGCATTCTAATAAAGTTACCGATCACGTGAAATAGACGACAAATCTGAGTTTCCCCTGCTAAGTGTATGCTTCACTGTGTGGTGTGATGAGATTGCGGATCCATGTGGAGTACCAGCTGAGATGAAGCTGTTGAAAGCAGCCTCAGATTCAGTTAAAAGCAAAAGTCTTAAAAGTTGCCACATTTGTAAAAAAACGTGCTGGAAATAAGATCAAACTTCAGGAAGTTTGGAAGAAACGGGAAATGAGATTAAGCTCCTAAAAATATCAAACAAATTTAATGACAACTTGCAGAATTGGAAATGGTTAAAAGAATTCGGAGGTGATCCAAAAAAATTATTGCACTCTATAAAGTGATTTTCCAGAAAGCAAAAAAAATTGGAAATTTTGTTCCAATTATGTCACAGAAATTGACACTAACATAGCTCAGATGTTGTCACAACAGCAGGGGAACGGTTGGTGGCTGGTTTAAGGGAAGCAGTGAAAACCGCCCACTCGCTGACTGGAATTATCCAGAGCTCTTCACACATGGGCTCACTTGGATGAAACCTGTAAATTTAAAATGAGCAAGCTGGCAGAGGACGGCTCCAGAAGCTGTCGGCAGCGACAGCCACCGTAGACGTTCTTAGGTTCACGCCTGGCCTTCGGGTGAATATCGTAACAGCAGCTAAAGGCTAAATGTGACGTACCTGATTCACATTTCATCGACGAGTTGTCCCGTAGAAACAGAGGCATCCCGTGGTTCAGGCAGCCGAACACCGTGACATTAGCTCCTCTCAGAAGAGACTGCAATTACAAAACACAGGCGAACATCATTGGTGGATGTGACTGTCAGCTGTGAGACACTAAACTTTAAAGATAACAAATCAAGTGGAAGTGCTCTCTCCTTCTGTCTGCCTCAGGCGTCTGAAGCCAGGTATTGACATTTCATCTCCTAACAGCATCAACTCACCATTAACACATTTAGAAACTCCCAGAGAGAATTAATAAAGGTTTTGGTATTTTATACATATACATATAGATTCCATATATATTGTATATATACATATTAATACATATATGTACATATACATGTATACATACATATACATATACAAATATATATAACATTACTATATACAGTACATATATACATATAGATTACGTATATATTTTATATATGTATATTAAAACATGTATACATATAGATTATGTATTTGTGTATATTTATACATATATGCACATATACATTCATACATACATATGTATACACATATAGATATACAAATATATATAGCATTACTATATACAATACATATATACATATAGATTATGTATATATTTTATATATGTATATTTATACATACATATGTATACATACATATATACACACAACATTTATATATATATACATACTGTATATACTATATATGTGTGTGTATATGTATATATATATTTATATAGAGAGAGAGGGAGAGACTTATAACTAAGATGACATTGAACTGAGGTCCGTTTCAAATATCTCAGATGTGATTTAGGAATAAAAGTAGAAGAAAAGAAGAAAAGAAGAGAAGAAAAATAATTGGTTTGATTATTATTATTATTAAAACAGTAGCAGTAAAGGTATCAAGGTACTTTAATACCCTTTAAAGCATTGTTTCCCAAAGACTGGGTCGCGACCCTCGGGTGGGTCGCAAGAGTTTTGTTTTTTTTTTTGGGTCGCCTCGCATCATGTTTCCCAGGAGTTTACGAATAATGTCTATTGACTTGGGTCGCGAAGGTTTGTGACTTTTAAAATATGGGTCCCCAGAAAAAAAGTTTGGGAAAACACTGCTTTAAAAGTACCTTGTTATACCTTTAAGTACCCTTTGATATTCACAATAATAATTTGTAAATAAACATAAATTATTAAATGTTATCTACATTTTAAATTTTCTGAAACATTTTTCTACCAGGTTCCTTTGTGATACAGTACTGTAGGTAGGTGTGTGTTTGTTTAGAGCTGCCTTACTCCCTGACTAATCTGTCACTTTTAAAATCTACACTGAAACCAACCGGTGTTGGTGTATGTGTGTGAATGTGCTACAGGTGTATTTTAATTCGCTATGGCTTATTGTTTTTTTCCACACACGCTGTTCTGTTACTGCGGTGCTGAAACAGAAACCAGAAAAGTCTCCGCCTGTCTCACATACACAAATTGAAATCTCATGTTTGTTTGGTTTTTTATTTTACCTTTTTTTGCCGCTCATTTCCTGACATCAGAGGGCAGCAAACAATTAAGGGGTTTGAGGAAATTGACGTTCTCACTGGTGAATTAAACATGAAACACGAGGCCCACCAGGACTGTGATGTGGACCAGGGACAACCCTTAATCTTTGGCTTTATAAAACACAACTCTTCTGTTCAACAACGACGATGATGATGATGATTGTACACCAGACTCTGCAGCTTCTTCCTCAGAGCCCAGAAATAACAAGGTGCAGCACATAAATTTGTCTTTGTGGATAACCTGAGGTGACTGTTTCCCTCGTTACAAAGATTGTGTTTCTTGCGTTGGTGTAGTGTACGTTGTACAGTATACAATGGGATTTGGCAACGTTTTTGATTAAACAACTTTTGAAATAACATTTTGCCAGATGCTGACCTTTTAAGTTTTTCAAACTTACCATCTGGTCTATAGAATAATGAAAAGAAAAAAACAACAAACAAAACAAAACTGTTAAGCCTCAGTGGCATTGTTTATGAACTCTTCTTCCCCTGTTGTCCCAACCCTCGCTCCCTAGTTTAAAGATGAATGATTAAATACAAGGGGTCGAAATGAGGACGCTGCATGGGCCTGTTTTCAACTCTTCTTCTTTTTCTTTCGGCTTTGCCCCCTTTTTTTTAGGGGTTGCCACAGCAAATCATTGATTTCCATCTCTCCCTGTTCTCTGCATCTTCTACTCTGACTCCAACTATCTGCATGTCTTCCCTCACTGCATCCATATATCTCCTCTTTGGCTCTCTTTCTCCTACCTGGTAGCTCCATCTCATGTTGGCCTGTTTTCAACTCTAATTAATAATAATGTAAAGGGTACACTGGATTTTCTGTCTTCTCGATAAACTCGTTGTCTCGACATGAGGGCAGTCGAAAATAAACATGTTCATCTTGTTACTTGTGAAGATTATGAAGCCAACATACAATTTTTGTCATCTAGTAATGTTTATTTATCCCAACTAATCACGATTAATCATTATTTATTACAATCGTGATCGATCATGAGCTGATGAAGAAACCTTAATATTTATATAATAAAATAAATAAATATATATGTTAGATTTCAGTGGTTTTCACATTTGGTTGGGTCTGCAGCAGGAAGCTGATAAGACACCAGATGGCTTTGCCGAGCACACACAGTTACATAGCCCCACACATTCAAAGAGAATTTCCCCAAATTCTCTTCACACCAATTCTCTAAAAACACCTCTACTCCATGGGAACAATGAGAGATCCTCACACCAACTTACTAAAAACACCTCTACTATCTGGAAACAATGGGAGATCTTCACACCCCTGAGAACAATGGGAGATCTCCCAATCTACCTTCTCACAGGGAACCCTGGAGCCATCCATTCCTTTTGATCTACATGACCGATGGATGGACGGACGGACGGACGGACGGACGGACGGACGGATAGATAGATAGATAGATAAAAAATAATTAAATTAAGATTATTGACAGAACCTTTAATTAATTCAATTATAAATGTAACCATTTTCCACTAGTCGTTTAAATGCTAATCATGGCAGTTACTTTCAGTTAGTGCTACTTAGCTGCTTAAAAATGGTTCCTGGAACTTTGACAGTTCTATGACACTGTGGTGAAAATGTCAGTTTATGTCATTATCACAAATATATAAACGTTGAAAAAATGCTAACCCTTCTACTTTAAACAATAGAAATTCCAGGTGTTTTATTGTTGGGACATTGATGACCAACCAACGAAGGCAGAGAGAAAGAGAGAAAAAAAACAAACATTTGCTTCCATTTTTTGTTACAAATTCCTCTTAAAGTGATGAGCAAAACAAAGGAATGGTCGAGAGAACTCACTGACACAGTGCAGCGATGTATTAAAAATGTAGCCTCCAGGAGACAGGAAGCCCCGAAGTCTCTCCTGGTACCAGGAAGAAACTCTATACAAATGAAACACTATAAATAAATGAGGACAATCTTTTGATTAATTCATCAGATTGTATTGTTTTTTAATTATAAATGTACCTTTTAATGGATTGCAACATTGTGATCCACACAGTGATGTCACCTACAGCTCACTCCTATTGGACTGTCAATCAGCCATTGTTGACTTGTTTGTGTCACGTCACTGTTATTTATAGTTCTCTGCTTAAGGGAGTGTATTGGAAGGAAGCTGACGCCAACTGACTTTTATTTCACTATTGTTAGAAATAAGGATAGCCCATAATTTATATACAATCTATGGTTAGTAGGCACAACTAGAATTAACATTATAAAACACTGATATCTCAATATCATAAATAAAAATATATGAATGAGATCCAGCATGAAGGTGCAGTGAGTGATCATTTACTTGGTTTTTATTATTTCTAATCTCAGCCTATTCATTTCTCCCTGACTTCAAGCTTAAAGTTTTACCTACATTTTGTTACAGAAGAAAATGACTTCTCTCTGCAGAGAAGAGTGTTTGCTGGATCAAACAAAAGCGGAAAAAAAAAAGAAAAACGTGAAAGCTGATAATTGCAAACAGTGATGGCATTTCAAGGACTAATGCTCATTGGAGTGCTTATAATTTCCTTATCTACTTAAGTCCGACCTGAGAAAAGAAAAGTGGATCTGAAGTCAAAGGGTTCACCAGAGTGGAAATAAAAGCCATACGCATTCAGTTCGCACTCTTTCACAGAAAGACCAGGTGAGCGGCTCCTGCAAATGTCTCTGGGAGCCCCACAAATCAACAGTGGTCGACCCACCACCGGCGGCAAACGGGATTCTTTGCTGCTGACAAGCAAGTGGCAGACCGTCGCGGAAGGGGGGTCGAAGTCGGTATTGAACAATACAGCACAGCATTCTCTCTGAAAAACATACGCTCAAACAACCACCACAACCTTCCTTTTCAACGCACTGCACAAACCACCACCACGAAGAACGCCCCCCAGTTATGTACAACTGGGTGTGTGGCTGGACCGAGCACGGAGTGTGGGTCGTAGGCTGTGGATGAGAGATGCCAGAGCAGTGGACCAGAGGGGCTTCACTGGGTTTATGATGTCACACATGTTTTAGTATAGGGTTTTTGTTTTAACTCAGTTCACCTCCATTTAGGTCTTATTTTATATAATATATTATATAAGATTTTTTTAAATTTAAAGTCCAATGACAGGAAAGTAGAGAATGAGGAATAAAGTTGGCATACATTATTTAACAGCGTGGAATTCAAGTTTACACCATTTCTAAGACAAGAGTTCTAAGATAAAAACAAAAACAAAACCAAAAAAAAATCCTACTTACATTAAGAAAACTATTTACCAACAAGTCATCTGTTCCTGGAAGAGTTCCCTTCACACCAGGTCACATCCTACTCTGGATCTAATCTCCACACAGTCCACCACTGTCTCCTGCTCTGCCTCTGTTTGGACCTGTTTCTCAGCAGGGATATTTCTCCACCACCGTTGAGGGATGAACTCTGAACCTAGAACTGCTCCATGGTGGATGCATTACTCAAGCTTCAAAAACTAGGCTTCACAATCTGTGATCAGAAGATGGTAGCGAAGGGACAAATGAGAAACCACTCCTCCAAAAACTGTTACTAATTCTTCTCCCTCTCAATCAAACTAATCTACTCAGCACTTGTCTAAAAATTGTACCCCACTCCAATCAAATCACCCGTTACTCGCCCCTCCAGCCTGATATTGAAAACCTAATCCACTATATTGTCTGTGTTTATGAAGCTTCAGCTTGTAGCAGCC